TAGTAATATGGTCCGCTGGACGGTGATGCTTCGCGGTTTGTCTCGGTCACGGACTTATCGGCCCAAGAAGAGGTCCCATCAAAAACTAAATTTAATGAGGAGTTCAAGCTGAAGAAAGGTGCCTAAATTAGAAAAACAAATAAATAACAAACTACCTTATGCAAATATCCCATGAATGACGTGCTTCCTGGCTTCCTTCATTCCTCACTGGCCGTTCAAAAAACTCTGAAAACAAAACCCTTGACTAAAACAACATAAAATGCTCAAAATGAGTAAACCCAGATCTAATTAGGCAAGAAAATAGATATCACATGATCCTTGAATGCAACATCCACTCTTCAACATTGCGCGCATGGTATTGTGCAAAAGAACAGCTGCAACATTGCACAATTTCCTTCGTACCTACCTAAATGGGCGAACTCAGAAAAAACAAAAAAACTTACATTAGCCTTTCCCCATAAACCATCTGATGTTCTGTCCCATAAATTCAGCTTCATTCAATGTAAAAATCGCCTTTAAACTGATTCCCTCGAGTCGAAATTGACACAGAAATATCTTGTGACTGAAGCGGCGGAAATCCAAGATACCCCCGATTTTTTTTTGATTCCTCTTTCCTCAATGGGAAACGGTGGAACACTGCTCGTCAAAACCGAGGTTTTTTCCGGATTTACACGACCAAACAACCTTGTGTCCTACTTTGGAACACGAAAAAGCTTCAATTCTTCTTGTACAAGAAAAATTTCCAACGATTTTTTGTATTTGTTTTTTTTCGCGGGAATTTTGCAAAATTTGGCGAAGCGCACTTCCAAGCCGCAAAAATTCGCGATCAAATGTAGTTGTTTTGGTCGGATAATTTTCGGAAATTATCTTAGTCCCCCTAGACATGGCTCGTCGACCGGCCCGGGCGAAAATCTCGGCCCGGCCCATGGGCCGGAGAGGTTCAGGCCCGTTTCAGATTTGCTTCGGCGGCCAAAACAACACTCTCCTTATGTATACCTCCTTATGATCACATTTTTTCTACTAGTCGCGACATAAAGTCCTGACACATTTGCACAGTGCATTTTGTTTTTCTTTCGGACCCGTCGCGGCAATTCCCCGTTTTTGCACTAGCGACATGCACTTTCGCGCGAACTTGCCACTTTTCTCGCGCGACACCCGCGACAAAAATGTAAATGGAAAAACGCTGTGTTCCGTAGCTATCCAAAAACAAAAATATATCTTTAAAAAACAAGTTTTGTTTTATTTCCAAGGGCATTGCGTTTTATTTTCATGGGCAGACCCAATTTTCGCCTCGAGATTCAGGATTGTAATTATTCGGGACGGAGATGGTCCGGCCGACCCATCCGATTTAAAACCCTGGCCCGAGGCCCGGCCCGGGAGCCATGCCTAGGTTCCGCCTTGCCATTCTTCTCTTCGCCCTCCTCCCGGCTAAGTCGGTTTCATTATGTCAGTCTGTCGGGAAAATAATGAGAACAATCTTGCTGCGCCGATCGCGCCGCTGAAGCAAAAAAACAATTTGATTTTGCCGCGACACACTTCAATTTCTCCGCGGCGATGCAACGTTTGACGCGACGTTCTGCTCATTATTTTTCCGACACACTGATAATATGGACCTGTCACGGCATGCAAGTAGCCGTACTACGGCCACGATGTTTCTAAGTATCCGTGGTGATCAATAAAATGATTGTGGGGGTCGGATTAACAGTATCAATCTGTTGGGAAAATAATGTGTGCATAGTCGCTCCGCGGCTCGGGTTTTGCTGCGCGACTGCACCCTTTTTTCGACGAGGCGAAGCGTTTGGCTGCGAATACCCCTCGCTTTTTGGAAGCGAGTAAATCGACGTAAGCAAAGAAGCAAGCCACAGTTCCAATGCTGCGGGATATTCAAGGGCTCCGCGCTGTTGCGGTAACCTTTGTCATCGTTTTTCATCTTTGGCCAACGACATTTGAAGACGGATTTCTCGGTGTGGATATGTAAGCGACCAGTTTTATTAACAGGCCACAGTGTCCTCTACTTTTTTGGAACGAATCGGTCTCAAAGCAAAGTTATTTCGGCGACAGCACTGTGCGAACAATGTCAGAGTCACATCCAAAGAACACGGTGCAAAAAGCCGAAAATAAACAGTTGAAGGTGATTTTTTTCACAAGGCGGACGTTTCGAATTCTTTTTTTTTTTGCATTTCGCTTTTATGCACTACGTATATGCACTATAACCCTTTTTTCCGCAGAAAAAAGACTCAACCTTTCTCAACCGGAATTAGCCATCCCTTTGTGAATGGAAGCCGGATCAAAGATGCCTGAGGGTCCCGGTCTTCCCAGCACTGCTGACAAATACCGAAGAACAACCGTGCCTGTGGCATTTTTCTTCGCCACAAAAGTTTCGAAAAAACTCGTAAAAAATGACGACAAGATTTGTATTACTGCGCTCTCATTCCACATCATACATAGATAACAGCGGACCGCCGAAGAGTCGAAAATTATCCAATTCAATCTACTCTTTTGATTTTTAAAGTCTTGTTTCTTGAAGTCTAATTATTTTTCAACATTGAACGACAAGGTTGCTGAGACATACCCAAATTATTTTCTCGTCACCGTGCACAACACCCCTGTTTGCGGCGTGCGCTTGACCGTTTGCACCGTGCAAGTGCAATATCGCAGCGACGCAGGCTGTTCTCAACGGATTTACACGACCAAACAACCTTGTGTCCTACTTTGGAACACGAAAAAGCTTCAATTCTTCTTGTACAAGAAAAATTTCCAACGATTTTTTGTATTTGTTTTTTTTCGCGGGAATTTTGCAAAATTTGGCGAAGCGCACTTCCAAGCCGCAAAAATTCGCGATCAAATGTAGTTGTTTTGGTCGGATAATTTTCGGAAATTATCTTAGTCCCCCTAGACATGGCTCGTCGACCGGCCCGGGCCGAAAATCTTGGCCCGGCCCATGGGCCGGAGAGGTTCAGGCCCGTTTCAGATTTGCTTCGGCTGGCCCGAACCAGTTGTGCTCATTATTTTTCCGACACACTGATAATATGGACCTGTCACGGCATGCAAGTAGCCGTACTACGGCCACGATCGGGCTCTCCTTTTGACATGGATCACGGGTTGAAAATCACGGGACTTTCTTTTCGGCTAATGTTAATGCCTATACATACTTTTTTTGTGCTCAAACCCATCTGTAAAAAAATGCTAATCCTCTTGACTTAATTTCAACCATTACCTTTCAAAAAAAAGCATGCGTGGTGATCAATAAAATGATTGTGGGGGTCGGATTAACAGTATCAATCTGTTGGGAAAATAATGTGTGCATAGTCGCTCCGCGGCTCGGGTTTTGCTCCGCGACTGCCCCCTTTTTTCGACGAGGCGAAGCATTTGGCTGCAAATACCCCTCGCTATTTTTCCGACAGACTAGTCGTGCATTCAGTAGCTTCCTGTGCGTTATTTTTTGGAAGTGTGTAAATCGACGTAAGCAAAGAAGCAAGCCACAGTTCCAATGCTGCGGGATATTCAAGGGCTCCGCGCTGTTGCGGTAACCTTTGTCATCATTTTTCATCTTTGGCCAACGACATTTGAAGCCGGATTTCTCGGTGTGGATATGTAAGCGACCAGTTTTATTAACAGGCCACAGTGTTCTCTACTTTTTTGGAACGAATCGGTCTCAAAGCAAAGTTATTTTGGCGACAGCACTGTGCGAAAAATGTCAGAGTCACATCCAAGGAACACGGTGCAAAAAGCCGAAAATATTTAAACAGTTGAAGGTGATTTTTTTCACAAGGCGGACGTTTCGAATCCTTTTTTTTTTATTTCGCTTTTATGCACTACGTATATGCACTATAACCCTTCTTTCCGCTGAAAAGACTCAACCTTTTTCAACCGAAATTGGCCACCCCTTTGTGAATGGTAACCGGATCAAAGATGCTTGAGGATCGCGGTCGTCCCGGCATTGCTGACAAAGAATAAGCGTGCATATGGCACTATGCTTCGCCGCGAAGGCTTCGAAAAAAAGTCGTAAAAAATGACGACAGGGATTGTATTACTGCGCTCTCATTCCACATCATACATAGATAACGGCGGAGGCGGACCTCGAATAGTCAAAAATTATCCAATCCAATCTAATCTTTTGATTTTTGAAGTCTTGTTTCTCGGTGTCTAATTATTTTTCAACATTGACCTTATTAGACCACTCCGTGCATATTCATTGGCCTTGTAGTCGTTTTTTACTATGAGCTTTGCCAACAGGCGTTTTCTGACGGTGACGAGGAGAACGGTAGATTTGCCTCCGAAAAAGGGTTGCCGACTTGTTTGAATGCGATTCCAGCCCACATAATATTCATATAGATAACGGCGGAAGTTCAAAATTTATCCAATTCAATCTAATCTCTTGATTTTTAAGGTCTTGTTTCTCGATGTCAAATTATTTTTCTATATTGGCATTGCCGAAAACGTATATCACTCCGTGCATATTCACTTGCTTTGTAGTCGTTTTTTACTATGCGCCGACAACATCTCTCAGCAGAAAGGTTGCAGGAAGTGCCTACGAGGCCTGGAAAAGCCGTTCAATGGCTGGCGGACGCCTGGCAGAGACTTGGCGAAGTCTTGCAATATTAATCTTGACAAGAACAAAGCTTTGAGAGGAAGAGTTGGCCACCCAAGGAAAAAGACTTGGCTCATCCTGCAATTCTTTATTGCCGTATGCGAGCAAATGATGGGGTATGCTTGCAGAATTTGTAGCTGAGAGGTTGTAGATTCGGGTCTCCGTGGCAAGTACGAGTTGGTTAGAAAAGTCGCTGGAAGAATTTTTGTCGCTCTCGCTGTGCAGAAAAAGGGTATGTGCGACAGCCAAAAAAAAAGCTTAATGCACGGTGCAAAAAGCCAGATATTGCATAGTGCATGCGAACGGGCCAGTAACCCTCTTTTTTGCGTATACCTGACGTTGCGCGTCCCATTCAATTAATTTTGGTATTGCAATTGCAATAGTCGTATGTATGAGTTGATTTCAGGCAATGCGCGGCGACATCCAAGGACTACGCTGCATTGCGATTGTTGCAGTGCTCCTTTTCCATTTATGGCCGCAGACTCTCGAAAACGGCTACCTTGGCGTTGATATGTGAGTTTTGACCGTATTAACTTCGCACGGCTGGCACATATACATACTGTATAAATTATATACATCCTAAATATCATAAGCGCTGTTTCAGGTTCTTCGTGATCAGCGGCTTCCTAATGCACGCTGTGCTCGAAAAGAAGGACACAAGTCCGCGAACAATGCTCGACTTCTACTTTCGACGAATCCGAAGGATTTGGCCCACCTACTACTTTATTTTAACAATGACAATTCTTGCAGTTCCGTACTTTTTCGTCGCAACCGATTACAAAACAATCCTCAAAGAGCTGCTGGGCGCCGCGACTTTTACATCCAATATTTTCAACTTGCCATTTCATGGCTATTTCGATGCGATCAATATCAACAGCATTCCATTGTTTTTGCACACTTGGTCGTTGTCGGTGGAAATGCAATTCTACCTCCTGGTGCCGTTCATCTTCTACGTCTATCGATGGTGCACCAAGTCGCGGACGCAATGGTTGTTTATTGGGGCCCTTATGGCAGCAAGTTTGCTGCATCAACTAGTGAACATTAATAGTGCGTTTATCGACCATTTACTACCACAGTGACTGACCTGATCTAGTGGCAAAAAACGTACCATTTTGCGTACGGGAAATATCGAAAAATGTAGCAAAATTCCTCCTTTTTCAACTAAAAAATGCTCGGTTTTCCCTCACAAAAAAAGCAAATAAAAAGGTCCATGCACTTTATGAAAATGTTAGTAGCAGCGACGGAAACTACATTGTATCTTGAATTTTTCCCACGTTTGTCGCCAACGCATAGAACTTTCCGTTGGCGCGCCCTGCAAACCTCTAACAAGCGAGTTATGCGGAGCGCGACAAATGTCCACACACTTTATGAAAATACTGTTAATATTCTGCTTACTTTCTTTATCAAACTTTCAAATTAAATTGAAATTTTATCCTTATTTTTAGACGCAAACACGTTCCACATGGCCTTCTTTGGCCGTGTTTGGCAATTCATGGTCGGATTCATAATATTCACCCACTCTCCGTTAAGTCCACGCAGACCCCCGGAGAAATCAGAAGGGGATCGTTCAACAGCGAGAAAGTGGATGAAGTACTGCCTTACAGTACTCTTGTTGCTCCAACTCATTTTCCCAACGGCCGGCCATCACTTTACCGACCGTATTCTGTGCACCCTCACGATGGCGGCGGTTATATATTTTCGTGAAGAGACGGTGTTGGATCACAAAGTGTTGCAGCAGATTGGCGACATCTCATACTCGCTCTATTTGACGCATTGGCCGATTATAATGTGCACAAAGTATATTACGCTCAGCTGGAATGAGGAGGCGCCTTTTAGAGGTAAGCGGAACATAGTCAATTCACCGGTATCCGTACTGCCATTTACCGTAATGCTTCGGGCAAAAAAGAAAAATAAGAAAAAATGGATTGGACTTGCTATCAGTCCGTTGGGAAAATAATGAGCGCAACTTCTGTAGACTAGGTCCTATTGATGCGCCGTTCGTTGAAATGAAAAGAAATTTGATGTTATCGCGACACAATTCATTTTCTCGGCGGCGATACGATTTTCGGTGCGACCGCGCACGTCAAACAATTCTTTCAGAAAATTGAAAAAACAAGGAATCTCGGATCATTGATTTTTTTGCGAAGTGCCACAGAATTATCGAGCTTGAAAAATTATTTTCCTCTTCGAAAAAACATTTTTCTCGAAATTCTCTGGGAAAGTTTTCTTTTGTGACTCAATAATTCAGCGACATTTCGTCGAAAATCAATGATCCGAGGTTCCTTGTTTTTTCACTTTTTCTTTGACGTGCAGCGTGCTTCGTTTTTCTCCCGACAGGCTGATAAATCATCGCGGTCGGTGATTAGTACGTTCGTAATGGCGTTTGCACCGTACTCGCGGTCAGGCAGCGAGTGATAGACCAAGAAAAGGTTACTGCACGGTGCAAAGTGAACGGCGACTTTGCGGACGCCTGTCGGGAAAACAGTGAGCGCTCTGTCGCATGGAAGATCGCCGCCGGAAAACTGAATCTTGTCGCACGTCAAAGAAAAAGTGAAAAAACAAGGAATCTCGGATCATTGAGCTTTGACGAAATGTCGCTGAATTATAAAGGTTCTTTCGAGGAAAGTGTTTTTTCGAAGAAAAAAATAATTTTTCGGGCTCAATAATTCTGTGGCACTTTGCAAAAATCAATGATTCCTTGTTTTTTCAATTTTCTGAAAGAATTTTTTTGAAGTGTGTCGTGGCAAAATCAAATTGCTTTTCACTACAGCGACGCGATTGGTGCAGCGGCATTGCGCTCATTGTTTTCCCGACAGTCTAATTTTATGACTATCTTCGCCGTTTCAGATGGCGTCTTCTGCATTTTCATGGCCCTTCTTTCTGCTCTCGTCGTCGAAAGTGTGTTCAAAAAGCTGACCGCTTGCATCGACAGTTTCTTCGCCCTCTCAGCCTGCCTGCTGCTCATCTTCACCGTTCTCGCCGCCGCCGCATTCAATGTGATGACACGGATTGAGAACCCATATGAGCCGTATGTGGCGCAACTCGACTTTGCCAATCAGACCCGTGCATTCTTCCACAATCCGGCCAAACCGAACATGACTGAGGCGGAGCTGTTGGCCTACAATGTGGAGAGCAACTACTATTTTTACTTTGATGTGGGGCAGAAATTCCAAGACGCAAAAGGCAGATTTAATCTGTCCAACGAGTATTGGGAGGGCAAATGGTATGGGAGTTTCGAGGTGAGAAAAAAACTTGGGGTAACCTTTTAATCCTTAAAATTTTGCACTGTTTTGGGTTACGAATTTTGCCAAAGGATTTTGGCAGTGTTTAGGGGTCATATGTATTCTCTTTACAGTGACGAAATAGAGTATGTATGAAGGATACAAGGCGGGCAAAAAATCATTCCGTGCGAGCGCGAAATTTCGACCGGTCCAAAACGACGGCCCGCCCCGACTCGGAGTACAGTCAGGGACCTGATCCAGCGGCAAAAAACGTACTATGTTGCATCCAGGAAGCATCAAAAAATGTGGCAAAATACCTCCCTTTCCAAGTGAAAAAAACTCAGATTTCAAAAGCGCGCTATCTCTTTCTGTGAGGGAAAGGGCGCGCCTTTCAAAACGAAGTTTTTTCACTTGGAAGGGGAGGCATTTTGCCACATTTGGGATACCTCCCGGATGCAAAATAGCACGCTTTTTGCCACTGGATCCGGTTCCCCTCTGTAGTAAAAATCCTGAATCTCAAAGTGAAAATTGGATTTGCTCATGAACAAAAAATTCGATGCCAAGACACGATCGGTTTTTTAAGAGATATTTTTGTTTTTTTTTATTATTATATATATAGCAGCATTCATCCATGACGATAGAAAAAAATTTTATTAAGGAGTTAGACTTAGGAAGGCTTTTGTTTCGACGGGCCGCGCCGAAGCAAATTTGAAGCAGGCAGGGCCGACAGGAACCCCCATGGGCCGGGCCTTGATTTTTCGTTCCGGGCCGGCCCATGGGGGACAAATTGTAAGGTAATTTCCGAAAATTATCTGATTGACCCACCTTAATTTAAAAAATTCCGGAAAATTGAGTGGTTTGACGAACACTGTACTAGGTCACGAAAAGCTACTGTACCTTTCCGACCAGCTTCAGCTGCTTCGGTACCGTCCGGAAATACGGTAAAAGCCGTTCCCTTGGAAGCCAATCAGTGAAACGCAAGTACGATTTATTCGGATAGATCTGTATCTATATCCGGTTGGTGGTTGAATGAATTGAATTTAATCAAAATTGCATACGCTAACGGATAATGCAGAGCCTGCAAAAGACTGGCGGTTCGAGTGAACGGAGATGCATATCAGCGAATCCAATCGCCGCAGTCCTGACACAATTATATTTCGACACCGAAAGCCCGAAAAGTCGGCGGACTGATTTTTGGCGTTTACACTGTGCGAAAAAGGCGGGGGTGCGACCGATAGCCCAACAAAGCCTATTGCACGGTGGGAACAGCGGAAAATTGCACAACGCAAAGTAAACCTTTGTACTACTTTGATGTCTACTTTGATCGCCTTTTCCAAAAAACTTGATTTCGCACTGCGGGACCGTATCAGTCTGTCGGGAAAATAATGACGAGTTGTCGCGCCTTGGAATCGCATATCATCGCTTGCTACCGCGGCTGGAGATTTCGTCCGCAACTGCACCCTTTGCGTGACGAGGCAAAGCATTTTTCTGCAACGACCCGCCATTATTTTGCCGACAGACTGGCACTGCGCTGTACAGACATGTCAAGACCTTTGGGTCCGCCTAGTATTATGCAATAAACACTTACAATGGGGGAGCTGATCCAGTGGCAAAAAACGTGCCACTTTGCATCCAGGATGTGTCAAAAAATGTGGCAAAATACCTCCCTCTCCAACCGAAAAAACTCCGATTTCAAAAGCGTGCCATCTTGTTTTGTGAGGGAAAGGGCGCGCCCTTCAAAACAAAGCTTTTTCACTTGGAGAGGGAAGCATTTTGCCACATTTTTGATATTTCCCGGGTGCAAAATGATACGTTTTCTGTCACTAGATCACATCCCTCACTGCATGCGGCAAGTGCATTTTTTTGTTACACAGCCTCCTTTTCAGGGAAATGGCACCAAAAATATCCTAATCATTGGAAACAGCATCTCTAGAGACGTTTTTTACGGTATGGTCGACGAATGGAGGGACGTCTACAAACGACTGACTACGTATTATGTAAACAGAGTAGTGCCATTCCAAAATGTCCCTGGCACGGACGCGCCCAAGCACGACTTTCTCGGGTTCCTGGAGCAATTCGAGCATCCAATCGATATTCTGATCGTGAGAAATACGTAAGAGTTTTGAATGTCTGCCTGTCGGAAAAATAGTGAGCACAAGGCGCAGCGATCCCGATTTTCGATGCGACAGAGTGCTTATTATTTTCCCGACAGACTGATAAAGCACATCGTTTCCAGATACTACACCCTGAAGCCGGATTATATTCAAGGTCCTATGTTCAAGGAAATGCAGAATTTCTACAGCAAACTCAACAAGTACGCCAAGCAAGCCGTGATTATGGACTCGGCGGAGATGACAAGCCAGCTGGACGTGGAAAAGTACAAAAAGATTGTGGCGGATAAACAAAGCCCGGATATCCTTAACCTGAGCTACAAAGTAGGAGAAATTTCCCATTAAAAGTTTGTCGGGGAAATAATAAACATAATGTCGCGGCTGAAGTAAAAAGCAATTTCATTTTACCGCGACACAATTCAAAAAAATGTCCATGCACTTTATGAAAATGATAATAACAGCGACGGACCTGATCCAGTGGCAAAAAACGTACCATTTTGCATCCGGGAAGTATCAAAAAATATAGCAAAATGCCTCCCTCTCAGACTAAAAAAACGCCCTCACAAAAAGAGCAAATAAAAAAAAGTCCATGCACTTTATGAAAATGCTAATAGCATCGACGGAAACTACAACAATTTTCCTAAATCATACGTTATTTGCAGGAGCTGCGGAAGTCCAAGCAAATGCTAAATCAAGTGATTTCATCCGTAAAATGCCCAAAATGTATCCAAGTCGATCTGACAAGAGCATTCTGCGACCATTTTGTGGACACTTGTTATGTTGTGGAGCCGAATGGATTGCTGCTGTTCCGCGATTCCGTGCACGCAAGTTATCTGGGATGCCTTCACCTTGGTCGACATCTCCGAGAAGAGCTGCAGCTGCGACGGGTGATATAAATTGTTTACTGTCAATTATGTACTATGTATAATTTGCAAATAAAAAAACGGAAAACTGTCGTCATTCCGCCTCTTTTTGGTAGGCCGGCGCATGTCAAACTGAGATAAGCTAAAACAGTCCGGTGAATGGATTGGTAATTTGCCAAAAAAAGACGCGAAAAAACGTTTTGTCGGGGAAGAGATGGGGGATTTTTGAGGCGAGAGAGTACGCTTTTACGTGTCTTTTCTCTGTCTTTCTCTGCGAAATGAAGACGAAGTGTAAAAAACCGATATTCCGGTCACCGGACTCCTCAGTTTGACGTGTGGCGACAATCAATACCGGCCCCAGCCAGACTAGCAAGGGAGGTATGCCAAGTTCGATCTTCTTAAGGTTTTTGATTGCGGAGCTAACACTCTCTTCGTGATGTAAAAGGCACGTATTTCAAAGCAGGGTTTTTAGCTTAGAGGAGGGAGGTATTTTGCGACATTTTAGTTCCTTCCTGAATGCAGAACGGTACTTTTTTTGCCACCGGATCAGGTCCCTTGCTGTAGGGAAGATTCACATATTTATTCCCTTTCTGTTCTTCATGTGCCCGGCAGATGTAATCGCCAAGCGTTCCAAAATTTCTCTTTATCAGCCACTGAGAATTCAGAGCCGAAACATGAGCTAACCTCAAACTTGGGTTAATAAACCGAAGATTTGGTCCTTCGTCCGGCTCTCATTTACTGCGCGTCGACTCTTTCGAGCGGGGAACTGGCTCTTTTTGGAGTTAATTCTCTTCTATGGCGCTCTCGCATTCTCAAGTCGGTGCGCTCGCGGACAATCCGTGTGCCTCTTTTTCTCTGACTCTCCGCGAAAAGCGTTCTTTCTCGCTTGTGCGTACGGCCCCCACTTTATTCGCGGTTGAAATAAGGTGAAAATTCTGTAATATATATACTATAATTATTTATCATAATAATGGTGGAGTGAATGTAGCGGTAGCAATTCCAGCGTAATCAATCACCTCTTTCTCGATTGCGTTATATCCCCCAATCCAGGTCAGTCAGAGCGCTTCCATCCGGTGTGCGCAACGGATGTTCGAAGCTTTCACTTTTTCGAGAACATTTTAGGATCTCGTTCTTTACATTTGATATGAATTCAGCATTTCTTAAACCTTATACAATTATAATTTCAGGCCGCCTCCGATGAACCGAACGTCATGTTCATGCGCGTTGAAGATGGTGAGTGGTTTGTACATCTTTGCGGATTTTATACGGAAAAAATGTGTGCTTTTAAAAGAGCTTTGTTCGAACTAACTTCAACTTTAAAATAGAAGAAAAGATCTGTAGTAAAAACTGGTAATTTTCTGGAAAAAGTCATCATTTTTATCCTCAAAATCCACTTTTCAGGCAGTGCTGATGCTAACCCTCCTTGCTCTTTACTCTATGATCGCTGGCTTTTCCTACTACGGCTCTCAATTCCAAGAATATCAGTCGCAACTTCACGTGGACGGGCCTTTCCAAAACGATGAGAAACAAGTTCAAGGACCTAAAAAAGTCCGACCACTGCTAAATTTGAGGCCCAAATACAATGTCCATGGGGGCCGAGTGCCTAAAGCCAAGCCATTGGCTAAAGAGGATGCCCAACGAGTCGACGAAACGACCGGCGCTGTCCGTCGTCATCTCCCGTATGGCAGTGGGAGACGTGTTGAAATGGGGGCATGCCCACCAATTTACGGAAAAATCTCCGTCTTCGTGGCCTATCGAAAAGAGGAATATGATACGAAATACAAGATTGCGCAAGCGTCCTTGCAATGCTATTTGAAATCGACCAACTACACGCTTTATTTGGTCGATTTGTACAATGATCCGGAGGTGAAAATGCACTGTAGACACAGAGAAATCTTCTTTCTCAAGCATTGCGCGGCCGCAATTTACCTGCGAAAAAGCGACTGGATGCTGGTTTTGGACGCCGACACGGCCGTTGTGAACCCGAATCATTGTATTGAGGAGTACGTTGATGACAGAGTGGACCTGGTCTTCTATGAGCGGTTCTTCAATTGGGAGATTATGAGTGGAAATTATTTGGTAGGTAGTTTACTTTGGGTGCTCAAATATGGCCACAGGGCCGGGTTCTTGGCATTTCCGGGCCCCCCAGTCCAGACCTCTCAAAGGTCGGGCTTTTTTAAACTTTTTTCACAAACAACCCGTGTGGACATACGGCCCAGACCTGAGGATTTTCAAGCACAGTATCTACAAAATTTTTTTAATAATTTTGAATTACAACTTTCACGCCATTTTGAAAATATTTTGGCATTGTGTTTTTGGCGTTTCCCGTTCACTTATCTACATATGTAAAGTACAATTCACAATAATTTCAGGTCAAAAACACCGCGTTTGCCCGGGATTTCCTCATGAAATGGGCCAACTACGAATTCACGCAGCCCGACAGTTGGAACGGTGCTGACAATGGGGCTCTTCAAGTAAATTAAAAAAAACTCCCTGATCTTTCCTTAATTTAGATTCATATCCTGAACACAGTTTTGCCGGAGGCAATCAGTGAACGGAACGCTTGCTATAAAGTCTGGAAGAACGCGACGAGCTACGACAATTACATGGGCTATGTAACGTGTGTGAAACTAATGCTGGGCGCCCAAAGATTGTATCCGGGACAGCTGCGGATACTACGAAGAGCCCATGGAATGGCCAGAGACGGGTTCCTGGTCTACGATTCGTTTTGTGAAGCGGACTTTATGTTCCACGCGTACAAACAGAATGAAATCGGGGAGGAGAAGTGGGAAAGTCCGTGGAAGGTGGGTCATTTATACGGTAGTATAAAACTATTTATATCTTTTCTGCAACGATGAGATTTTGCTGAAATCATCACCAGTATAGACTGAGAAGGGTCCCGTGTCAAAGGATCGCAGAATTCCTCGGTCGAAGATGTCCCTCAAAAAAGAAGTCCCACAAATTAAGAGGCCCCAAAAAGAAGAGGCCCCTCGACCGAGGAGGCCCGCTGACCCAGTGGATTGCTCTGCCGAAAAAGCCCCTCAAACGAAGAAGCCCCGCCCCCCAAAAAAAAGTCGAAGGGACCTTTTTTTCATTTTCACAAAAAATCCGAAGAGGCCCCGTTCTTGAAAAAAAAACATTCAAAATGAAGGGTGATATATTATACGATCAAGAAAATTCGAAAAGTAAAAAAAGCAGGGTGTGACATCTTATACGGTGACTTTTTTAAAATGAATGAAAAGGGTACGACATGTTACACAAAAAAAAAATTCACCGTATATGTCACCCTATATTTTGATTCTTTTTTATTTTTTCAAAAAAGGGGGCTTCTTCGGCAAAGGGGACTCTTCTCTTTCACGATTTCTTCATTTTGGGGGCCTCTTCATTTTGGGGGCCTCTTCGGTTGGGGGTCCTAGCTCAGGGGGGGGCTCTTCGGAAAAGCGCAGCAAAATATTGCTCCAATTTCAGAAACCAATGGATCTCGAAGAATGTGGCACCGGCTACAATGGCTGGTATTGGCGGAAAACGAAGAAGATCCCCTGCTCCGAGATTCGCTATCATTTGGCGAATTTTGAACAAAACTCAGCCCGTACTTTTCCGAAGGAAGGCCGAGTATTTCCACATCTCGAACTTCCCGATGTTGGAGGGTGCTGGCCAAATTGTGACAATTACTAGTGTTGCTGTCGAGGAACATATGCCATTTTTGTTGAGTCTGGTTATTGCTACGGGTGTTACTAGTCCGTTTGCAAAGTCGCTGAAGTGATCTCTGCGACAGCCCAAATAAGCAATTGCACGGTGCAAAACGCCGAAAATTGCATAGAACTTTTTTTGCACAGTGCATGTCGCAAAAATCACTTCAGCGACTCTACATTTTTTTATGGACTAGTAAATTTTTTTTTGTTTGAAAGACATTGTAAATATTATATTTATTGATGATACTATGCCAGAATAATACATTGGGACCACTTTGTGTTACACTTCTTCCGTGCCCCTCCCGAATATGCGGTCTATCTCGCATGTTTTCGTGTTACTCCACTTGAAATGAGATCCCTTCGAAATATCACCACTGAAGAAAAACCTAGAGTGTGTACGCCCATAGCCCGTTGAAAGCACGCCATCCCGTCCGATCTGGCAAGTTAAGCAACGGTGCGCTTGGTTAGTACTTGGATCGGAGACGTCCTTGGAATCTCAAGTGGCGTACGCCTTTTGGCGTTCTTACACAATGTTAATGAAGAATATCAGCAAAACTTTTATCTGCAAATGGTCTAAAATTTATGGATAACAATCAGAAATACGTATTAGGTTTTTATATCAGTCTGTCGGGAAAATAATGAGCACTGCGTCGATTGTGTCGCTGAAGTGAAAAGCAATTTAATTTAGCCGTGACACAATTCATTTTCTCAGCAGCGATGCGATTTTTGCGTCTTAGCTGCGACACAGTGCTCATTATTTTCCCGACACGCTGATATGATACTCCTCGGTTTATTGCGCTTAATTCCTTATGAATCACTTCCACATCGAATGCGAGAGCATGCATGTTGAACTGTTTCAATCTTTGCTCCCGACACGGATTTCCCCAGTCGTCTTCGGCCGCAAAAAACGTCTTCTTGGCAACGTTCAAAGAGCCCAAAGGCTAAAAAAGAGCGAACAGACAAAAAGTGCAGACGAGTGTGCCGGCCCGTGCCTTTTTTTGGGGCCAAGAATTTTCCCGCCACACTTTTTTTTGGCCGGATAAGGCCATCTTCTTGCGAGCCAATTATTATTTAGCCGTCATTCGTCAACGGTTGGCACGGTGTTCGGTGAGCTATGGGTGGTGTTACAGCGACTTACAGTCGGTTTGTAAGGTTTAAATGAGTTTGCATTCGTTTTTATGTAATTAATTCGGATTTTCGAGGATTTTGGGAAGGAAGTTCCGTGCTGAATAGTATAATGCACGGAAGAAATGTGGTGTAAAATTGACCTTATTGGACACATAAGAGTGCATTCTAATATCCTAGGGGTTTAATGTTATCAATCTGTCGGGAAAATAATGTGGATTTATCGCGGAAAAATGTCTTGCCCCGTCGTAGTCGTGCGCCAAATTTTCAGCTGCAGCTATCCCTCCCAAATCGATGATGAGGGACTTCAAGAGGCTAAAAAACCACATTGTTTTCCCAACAGACTGATACTATATAACCTTCATGGCAAAACGATAACGAATTTTTAAGTTAGGGCGACATTCGCCAGAGGCTTGCCTGATTTTATGTGCTTGGCTGGTGTTACCGCAAAACCTTCCAAAATCTTCCCTATTTATTGCCGGAAAATAATCTCTGCTTAGTTCTTAATATGCCCAGCCGATGTAACCGCCAAGCGTTCCAAAATTTCTCTTTATCAGCCACTGAGAATTCAGAGCCGAAACATGAGCTAACCTCAAACTTGGGTTAATAAACCGAAGAGATTTCCCTTCGTTATAGCCTTCCCTATTTCCCTCCTTTCTTTTCGAATGGGGAACAACGCTTTTCGGGAGGCAATCGGCTTCTCTGCCGCTCTCTGTTTGTTCGCACTGAAAACGCAGTCCGTCGCCGCGCTCTCTTTCTTCGACCTTCCCGCCGAATACGGTATGTTTCTGGGCTACAAAAGGTGGGTTATACTGTCTTATATTAAAATATTATGTTGTATGTGCCCAGCAGATGCAATCGCCAAGCGTTCCAAAATTTCTCTTTATCAGCCACTGAGAATTCAGAGCCGAAACATGAGCTAACCTCAAACTTGGGTTAATAAACCGAAGAATTTCCCTTCCATTCGCTCTATCTAAGCGCCCTTGTATCCTGTTCGATCGGGGAACCCTCTTTTTACGGCACTAATTGTTTTCTCTGTCAACCTCTGAATAAAATCAAATCCACACTATTTACTTTGTTTCTCTTCGCTCTCCTTAGAACGTGTCTGTCTTCCAAGCGGAAAGAAAAAGAAATCGAACGAAATAATGCAGGTAGGAGAGAAGAAGAGAGCAAAGAAGAATAGCATAGGGAAAGCGGAGGCCGTGATGGAAGCAAATTAACTCCGTAAATGAAGAGTTCCCTGATCAAAAGGCTTTCAATGGTATTTAGAGTATCGCAATGGAAGATTTTCTCTTCGGTTTATTAACCCAAGTTTGAGGTTAGCTCATGTTTCGGCTCTGAATTCTCAGTGGCTGATAAAGAGAAATTTTGGAACGCTTGGTGATTATATCCGCCGAGCACATGTAAAGCTGCTAAACGCTAGGAGGATCTCTGTTTTATAAGGACGATTTTTTGCCTAGACTTTTTCTCAAGCACCAGTGAGTTGAGTTTAGATACGACCGTAAAAGGGTATATCAGAAGCAGATAAATAGAAATTTTAGAAAACTTGGCGGTTACATCGCTGGGCGCCTGTTAAACTGGAGAAAGATTATTTAGCGGCAACTTGCATCGCAAAAAAAGGATAAAACAAGAAGAATGAAGGGGCCGTACGCACAAGCGAGAGAAACCGCTTTTTCGGAGGGTCAGAGAAAAAGACGGGGACGGATTGTCTGCGAGCGCACCTAGTTCAGTCGTGAGGGCGTTAGGGAAGAGAATTAACTCCAAAAAGAGCCAGTTCCCTGCTCGAAAGAGTCGACGCTGAGAAAGGGAGAGCTGGACGAAAGACGAAATCTTCGGTTTATTAACCCAAGTTTGAGGTTAGCTCATGTTTCGGCTCTGAATTCTCAGTGGCTGATAAAGAGAAATTTTGGAACGCTTGGCGAATACATCCGCCGAGCACATAAAAACTTGAATCGGGGTGGTTTTGCGGTTGGCTACATCGTTTTCATCCTTATCCATCTTATTCTTTCTCTGCTTCTCGCAGCCCCTAAGTGAGATCACATACGTTTGCGAGAGAGCTGAGGAAAAACGCTTAAAAATCTTCCCGTTATCAATCTGAACAAGCAGAGAGCACTAGAGAAGCCAATTGCCTCCCGAAAAGCGAAGTTCCCCATTTGAAAAGAAAGGAGGGAAATAGGGAAGGAAATAGTGAAGGTAAACTTCTTCGGTTTATTAACCCAAGTTTGAGGTTAGCTCATGTTTCGGCTCTAGATTCTCAGTGGCTGATAAGGAGAAATTTTGGAACGCTTGGCGATTACATCTGCCGAGCACATATTAATCTTTCCTTCAAAGTGCGTTGACTGTCTGTGGTGACACATTTTGCATTGTGCGATTCAAAAATCGCTAAGGAAAGACTAGTACATAAAGCAATATTAGATGTCCAATCCTGATGGTTATATAAGGTTACAGTTCCCCTGTATTACTTGCCATCAAATCGTTCTTCTAAATATAGCATCATCTCTTCATTACTCATGCAGAGTTTTGTGCAGAAAAGATTTTTAGTCGTTAAATCTCATTCAAAGCCATGCCTGCCCTTTGGCGTCCTTTCGCCCCTTTAATCCCGTCTGGAATAATTTTTGGCGACGGAATTGGCTCAAAAAGTGTAGGTGCACTTTGGCTGCCATGGCGTGGCACGAAGGTCCATTTGAAGTCGAGTGCATGGTCATTTCCGAGAAATTTTATTTGTTGAAATTTTGATTACTGTCAGCTCCAGTAATTAATCAGCTGGCAGTAGGATCTTTCGCGATTTTTTCTATCAGTCCGTCGGGAAAATAATGAGCATTTTTTTCGCCTCGAAAGATCACTGCCGGGAAAATGAATTGTGTCGCGGCAAAACCAAATTGCTTTTCACTTCAGCGATTGGCGCAGCGACATTGTGCTCATTATTTTCCCGACAGACTGATATTTATTGTGTCGTCCAGAAAGTTCGTTCGTTGTTTTCATTGCTTTGTTTTACAAGGGTTATTTGTTGTTTGGCAAAGGTAGTATATTTATTTGATACAGCTTTTTCCCCTCTACAAAACTGTGTTTTTATTTTATTATTTTTTTTTGTTTGAAAATCTAATTTGTCATTATTTTGAAACCCTTTCCAAAACAACCAATAACCCTTATAAAACAAACCAATGAAAAAACAAACGAACTTTCTGGACGACCCAATAAATGTCAGTCTGTCGGGAAAATAATAAACGCAATGTCGCTGCGCGGCTGGCTTAATAGATTTGTCTGTAAATTTCGCAAGCGATAAGCACTCTCTATGGCCATAGTTGTAGTTTTTATGTGCACTCATCTAGAGAATATTGACTTTGACGGACTTGTGAAAGCCGACCAAACTAGAGACTACAGTTTCTAAATTCTCATAGCGCTGGGAATATGTACATAGAATAAATGGATCGTAAAATACTTTGGTGTAGAGGCTGAGTCAAATACGTATCTTCAATATATGGTCTTGAAGTGTCTACCATCTTTAATAGTGAATATCTCGGTCGTCTCTACAAAGCGGAGCTAAACTTTTTAGCGCCTAATAGTTAGGCTATTTATCAGTCTGTCGGGAAAATAATGGGCGCAATGTCGATGCGCCGATCACATTGCTGAAGTGAAAAGCAATTTGATTTTGCCCCGACACAATTTTCGTTTTCGGCGAAGATGCAACTTCAGGAGGGAGAGAATGCTCATTATTTTCCCGACAGACTGACAAACTTACGTTTTACAGGAAGTGATGACACTCAGATTTTTTACGGCCAAGCCATCAGTCTGTCGGAAAAATAATGACCACTCTGTCGCTGCGCCAATCGCGTCGCTGGATTGAAAAGCAACTCCATTTTGCCGCGACACAATTCATTTTCTCCTGCGATGATCCCGCTTTTTGATGCGACAGAGTGCTCATTATTTTCCCGACAGACGTCTTTTTTCCGGGAAATTTATTTCTTTTGTTACCCTCAAGCCATTGTTTTCACATTCATTTTTCACACACCTCTCCGAAATAGCACCGCTTTTTGTTTAGAAACTTCTTTCTCAACCTCAAAAAACAGCTTTTCCAAATTCCCGTATGATTCATCAAGATTTCAAAACAATTTTCGCCAAATTTTGCAATCTTTTGACAAGTAATGTCTCTGAAATCTTATTTTTTATCTTATTTTTCACCCGCAGTAAGACAGCGGTAGTTGTTATTGTTGGGGTGGGTTCGATGGAAACGTTCTTCTTGAGTCTTTTCTGAGCCCTAACTTTCGAGTTCAACTATTATCAGCCACACGTTTTATTTGGAGTTTTTGATTCCTTGTAGCCTGACGCACATGGAAAATGGCGGACGCTAATTTATTAATGACGTTGTGGCGAGGACAAAAAGGTCATTGTCCAGAGAGTTTCGGTCGGAAAGACGTCGGAATTTTGATTGAAACTATACTATAGAACTTGGGATTTTCGAGGGAAATACGCAAGATTAAATTCTAGGTTCTGCATGGAACTTGGCATACATTCAGACTAGATATGGCCTGGAGGCTGGAGCCATGTCTACAGTTTAGAAAGCAAATTTGAGGCCGGCCGAAAAGTTTTAAGCTTACTATAGTTTGTCGGGAAAATAGTGAGCACAATGTCGCTTTATCACGTCGCTGAAGTGAAAAGCAATTTGATTTTGCCGCGAGACAATTTATTTTTCTCAGCAGCGATGCCGATTTTCGATGCGACAGAGTGCTCATTATTTTCCCGACAGATTGATGAAATCCTTACCTTATAGGGGAAGCTCTGAGACTCAAATTTTATTGAAACTTGGAACGAAATTCTATCATTCTGTCGGGAAAATAATGTGGATTCGTCGCGCCTTTGAATCGGCCAATTCACGACAGCCCGATGTGTTTTCATTTTTTATCAATAAAAAATGAACGCATCAGTTGGGAAAATAATGAGCTCTCTGTCGCATGAAAAATCGGTATCGCCGTCGAGAAAATGAATTGTGAAAATCAGACATGACTAGCCGGGGCTTTTGGCATTTCTCGGCCTCCAGTTCAGACCCCGTCAAAGTCGGGCCGGCCCGGCGGTTCTCGAAATTTTGAAAACCCTGCCTCAAAAATAAAAAATTTCGGATAAATCGGCGCAGCGGCAATTTGCTCATTATTTTCCCGACAGCTTAATTTACCGGCCCGGCCCACCTCAAATTTGCTTCGGCTCGGCCCTTGGAACCTACGGACCTCAATTGTTTTTCTTTTTTTATCAATTGGCGAATCGACATTGCCCTCATTATTATCCCGACAGACTGATAAAACGCTGTCATCATCCTTAACCCCTCATTTTTATGTCCGAACCAACTGGCCACTGGCTATTTCCGACTTCCGGTTTGCATCACCCCCATTCTTATCACATATTCCCCCCTGTTTTTTCGTCGACTATTTTTTTCACCTGAAAAAATCGCAGACAAAAAATGTTGGGCGCCAAGTGGTGGTGCCAGCTGATCTTCAGCTGTCGCCTCCGCCGCCTCTCGTCCCCCTTCTCAAGCCCCTTTTTTCGAGCGAAACCGGCTAAACCGAGAGGAAGCGGGGCCGAGATTACACCAGAGCGAGAGTATGTGGGAGAATTGGCGAGCGAATGGGGTGGGGTTGGGTTCTTGGGAAAAGCGGGCGACGTCATCCCACGTTTCGAAAGTCATATATTAGGATGTCGTGAGGACAGAGAGGTGGGGGGAAAGGGGTTTTTGGCGAGTTTATGCCGTGAACTGAGGTAAAATTTCGTTTCTGTGTTTTGAAAAAGTTTGATATTTATGTATTATATGTATAGACTTGTACATAATACTCAAATTTAATATCCCAGGAATCTATACTTTCGCATTTGTTATCTTTATGGCCGTTACAATAGGGTTTTTATGAAATAGTATCTCTCTGTCGGGAAAATAATGTTGATTTGTCGCAGCAAGATGTCCGCCTCATCGCAGTCGAGCATCAGCCCTCTAGCCGCGGCTAGCCGTCGCAGAGCGATGATAGGCGATTTCAAGACCCGACAAAACCGCATTATTTTCCCGACAGACTGATACCTCGGCGGCGATGCGACTACCGATGCGATAGATTGCTCATTATTTTCCCGACAGACTTATATAATCCTTTTACGGAGCACATGAGGTGCGACGGTAAAGCGCCTGAAGATTGTTTCCTCCGAAAATTCAAATTTTTTGCTTTTTGCAACGTGCGGTGAAATATCGCTGCGGCAAAAGCATGCTTCAACTACACTGCAGGTTTTTATGGTTGTTTTTTGTTATTTTTTGTTTCTTACACGAGTGGGAAGGATTCAGAGTTCGGCGTGGTCAATAAGGGGTTCCGTTTATAAAAATCCATAGATACGTAATGTGGAGTATCGGTTTACATGAAAGGTACAGAAAAGCATGCACTATGTTGCATTGAAAATCGCATCGCTGCTGTGAAAATGAACTGCGTCGCAGCGAAATCAAATTGATTTTCAATTCAGCGACGCGATCGGCGCAGCGCTCATTATTTTCCCGACAGATGGATAGGGAGTCCGAGAAATTTGTTTGACCGATTTTTCGACCGTTTCGGCATCAACCAAATCTTTTTTTTGACAAAGCGGACCATTTTCTCAAGTCTTCTGTATTCCAGGTTGTAGGAACTGCCTACGAGGCCTGGCAAAGCCGTTCTATGGTCGGCCGAGGCTCGGCGAAGGCTCGAAAGACTTGGCGAAGACTTGCAATATGTCCACTGTTTCTAACGTTGGCTATTACTGACGTTGGTTTTCTTTACGCTTATTATGAGTTATTGTAAATAGCATATAAAAGACGAAAATTTGCGGTAAAAAAAAGGAGATCTGTAACTTTTATCTGGACATTATTGATGTGAATATATGTAAAATACCTCAAAATAGGTGATAGGATATCCTAGGACCCGAAAAATCTTATTGTCTCTACTAACTAAGCCTTCTCCTGGCCTCCCCATGCATACAACGACAAACAGACAGCATCCATAGTATGCAGTCGACCCGAGCTGTAGCTGACGCGAAAAGTTGTAACGCCATTTCGACCGATAAAATCAATCCATTAAAACAGCCAACATAAGCCCCTTAACTACATTTTTTTGTATTCAAAAACTAAATATGTATGTATTATTCTCTTCAACTCATCTTATTTTTTCTCCAATACACAACATCAAGAACCCTGTTGCGTTCAAATTATTAATTGAATAATGATTCAAACCAATCGAATTTGAATTTCAAATTCCCAATTTTTGAATCAACACGAACGCGACCTTAGGGCGTCTAGTCCAACGAAAAGAATACTGCCCATTCCGTGGGAGGAATTCGATTGAAAACATATGAACAAATAACTGCCACGTTGTTTTCCGGATTATATTGCGGATTTTATTGGAAGTTGTGATAAAAGGAATATATCAGGGTACCGGGAATCTATTGATAGGGAAAATATTATTCTTTGCTCCCTTTATTTTGATATTTGCTTGTGTATTTAACGTCAGTTAGAGGGAGGGGAGCAAAAAGGTGGCTTGATTCTATAATTGGCTAGTTGCTCGTATATAACAACAGGCAGGTCAAAATTTAAATCTTTGACTTACTGTAGTTACACTGTGACATGTGGGGATTTTTTCTTTCTCCCCGATTGACTCAGGCCCCCTTTAGGGTTATATTAGAATGGATGTTTTGTAAGCAACTTTGTATTGACATCCTGTTTTAAAGCTTTTGTTATCAGCCTGTCGGGAAAATAATGTGCACTCGTCAAGCCTTGGAATCTCCCGTCATAACGTTGCAACAGCTCGTCATGGCTGGAGATTTGTTGCGCGGCTGTGACGAGGCGATAAATTTCCTGCAATTCTGCAAAAAAATCCACATTATTTTTCCGACAGACTGTTATTTTGATGGGACTTTTTCCCGACTGCAGCGTTTTCGACGGCTTCTGTGAAGATTTTCGCTTTTTGCCAAAGTAGTCAAGATTTTTAGGTCTAAAACGAGTTGTTGAATGTCTCAGCGGCCTTCGCAAACTATGGTACAATCTTAGCTGAGATTTTTCAGTGACTTTTTTATGGCCTATTTATAACATACGTTATAGAAGATCTTTGCTATATTGAGATTTTTGAATTCGTTTTTCGAGCCCTCCATCGTGGATTGTAAAATCAGTTTGTCGGGTAAATAATGAGCAAATGTCGCTGCGTCGGTCACGTCGCTGAAGTGAAAAGCAATTTGATTTTTCCCGCGACACAATTCATTTTGTCCGCGACGATCCCGATTTTCGACGCGACAGAGTGCTCACTATTTTCCCGACAGACTCTTTTTTGTAGGCGCTTCTTTTTTCCCATTTTTTTTATTTTGCATTTCCTGCATGTTTTATTATCAGCAATTCCAGAGAAACGAGGGCTTATTCAACGTATGCAGAGGCTCACCGTTTTTCGGCTGGCTTGATATCTCTTGCACAGTGCAGGTGGGCAAATATTTAAAAAGCTTTTGGTCTGGCTTGTAATTCGAAAATTGGACATGGTTTGTGACGACATGGACCTTCGGATCGCAAAATTCGTTTCGAAGTTTGCATAACTGTCTCTTCGACCTACATCAAATTTAGAAGAGAGCTCTAAAAGTTGGCTTTTCGTCCAAAAACTTATCGGAAAAGATCTTTTTTTTTATTTTTTCGATGTTTTCCTCTTCGTTTTACCGGTCGAAATTAGTCTCAAAAAAATCTGAAGGCTTGAGAATGAACAGCTTTGTCAAAAAAAAACCCTAGTTTTTGCTAAAGTGGTCGATAAATAGGTCGAAAAAGATTTGTCGGGCCCTCTATCAGTCTGTCGGGAAAATAATGAGCACTGCGTCGATCGTGTCGCTGAAGAGAAAAGCAATTTGATTTTGGCGCGAAGACAATTCATTTTCTCGCCGGCGATCCCGATTTTCGATCCGACAGAGTGCTCATTATTTTCCCGACAGACTGAAGGACAGATGTTGTTATAGAGAGGTTTTTTGTGCTCTGAAACCTCTGGAAAGCCAACTATTGTACAACGAAAACCTACTATTTATAAAGAAAACAGCTTTTTGATTCCCTTGCCATTTGTTGTACCAGAGATCTATTGTAAAGAAAATTTACTGTATTGTGATTTCTTGACGATTTAAAAGTTGTCTTGAGTTCAAAAAATTAGCGATAAGAAAAACGTTTCTGTTTGTCGTAAATTTGTAGGCTTGTTCTGTGCCCTTATCATTTTACGCCGCTCACAAGACACTAAATATAGATTTTTAGGGAAATCTGCACTTTACATACAGTGGCTGACTTGATTCAATGGCAAAAAACGTACCATTTTGCGTCTGGGAGGTATCAAAAATGTGGCAAAATACCTCCTTTTTCAAGTGAAAAACTCCGATTTCAAAAGCGCGCACGCTCTTTTTGTGAGGAAAGCCCTTCAAATCGAAGTTTTTTTGTTGGAGATGGAGGCATTTTGCCACATTTTTGATACTTCCCAGATGCAAAATGCTACGTTTTTTGCCACTGGCTTAGTTCCGTCACTGTGTTTATTTTACTCTTATTTCACCTCTTTTACTCGATCCCAAATTGAAGCCAAAGTCCAAGGAGCATTTTTAGAACGCTTTACATTCAATTCCCACTTCCGCTGACTCATAAATTCGCTAAATTCCACTTTTTTGTATTATAAATTTCACTCCTTTTACTAGAAATTCATTTCAACGGACATCCTTTACTTGTACGATTCTTCCATATCAAGCCCTAAGGGCAGCAAGTTCAATCCCTTTGTGAGTGAAAAAGATCCATAAAAACATCCGTAATGCCCCCATTTATATAGTTTTTAACATAGTGCAATCACGAAAAATTTGAGGTATTTCCGAGGGAAATATCAGCTTTTGAGCGTTGAGAGGAATTTTGGGAGATTTTTTGATTTTTTGAAATGTTGTAATAGGGGTTTTTGGAGGCAAAAACTGAATTTTTTGAAAATTTTAAGAAAATTTTTTAATCGTAGGCATTTTTTAATTGATCTTTTATATTTCTTTGTTAACTTATTTTGATATTTTTTGATTTTTGATGCATTTTTTTATGATTTTTTGTAAAAAATTTTTATGATTTTTTTACTTTTTTTCACATTTTTTAATTTTTCTTGGCATTTTTGCCAATTTTTTACTCAAATTTTTTTCAACTTTTTTTTTTTTTTTTTTTTTATATTTTTAGCTCCAAAATTTTTCCAAAAATATCTTTTTCCTACTTTCCCCACTTTTTTCAATCTCCAAAAGTTTGAGTTCAGGCCAATACTATTGAAAAAAAAAAATGCCGAGACAAAATTTGCACTTTGCCCTTGCTCTTGCCCTTTAGCGAATCTCGATCGCCAAGAGTCCTAACTATACTCTCGGTCCGCTTGGACGCTGGCATTCTTTGTCGTTGCACTTCCCCGCTGGTCTTAATTTTGCCTTATTTTCGTTTCTTGGCCAAATCCTCTTCGTGTGTTTTTCGAAAGAAGAAAACAGCTCTGCTTGGAGTGGCCAATTCGAGTTTTTTTAGGTGATTTCTCGAAGTTCGGCGCTCGGATTTGCTTGAAATTTTGGGTGTTCGATCTGACTAGTGTATAGTTTAAGTTGTTCAAATTTTAGCTTGGGCTTTGCAAAGAGACTTGAGATATTCAACAATCTTTCTAGAGGAAGCCCGAAAAATGAGGAGATAAAATTAGAGAAAAAAAATTTTTTTGGCCGTATTTTTTTGAAATTTGGGTAAAAATAAAAAATCTTTTGGCA